TAGATACAAAGATATATACATAGATAGATAGATAGATAGATAGATAGATACAAAGATATATACATAGATAGATATATAGATACATAGATGACAAGCAGACAGCAGAACCAATTCTGTAGAACCCAGGCAGTCCTACTGTATTGGTAAACTCAGTTGTAGCATCTCTTCCTTTTGTAGTCAGGATAAGGCAGGTCCTTCTAAAGGAATTTGTTCTCTCTTTTCAGACTCCTACGCAAGAGGATCCGGAGCTTCCACCTCAAATGCATGTACGCTGTCAGCCATCAGCACAATAATGATTTCCCTCACAGCCAGGTCCAGTTTATGACAAAAGTCATCTAAAAGACTTGCTATTTATAATATAAGCAACATTTAGCTAGTTGTTTTGAAGACACCCAGTACTAAGTAATATTGTTGTTCAAGTACATCTTATTACTGGAAAAAAATGTCTTTTGCTTCTTTAGGAATGGCATTATACAGTACTTCCTCAAAGCAAATCTAGCTTTGTCTGAAGTTTCTTTGGAAACTCTGCAATGCACTGAAGACATCTGTAATATGATGTTACCAAAGCAGTTTACATATGTCCTTATATGCATATTTTTATTATATATTTAGTGTTTTATAGAATTTTTTAAAGTTAACATATAATGTAGATATTGATTTTTTTTCCTCTGCTGTAAAATGCTCTGGGCAACACAACCATACAATTATGATTTCAGACTAGTTCCTTTAAAGACAGAGTTTGAGACTTATCTTGGTAAATGAATTGCAAATGACTTGTATAGTTTTACAAGGATCTAGTGACAAAACAGCTGGAGACTCTTGGTCTGTAACTCAAGACTGTGTATATAAATTACTCCTTGGATGGTTAATGCATTGAATCAAGTTCTTTTGACATATACAATATGTTTTCCTACCCTGTTGTGAATTTTATTGTTCAACACAACTTGAGATGGTTTCAGGAATGGCTAAAGAAATCTCAAAAGTTAAACTTCCAGCCTAAGAGGCACCTGTGCAATACTCCCACCCCTGACTTTAGCATTGTACGGTAAGAGTTCCTTTGAGCATTGTCTTTGTGGTAGCATTATCTTAGGCATTGGATTTGAAGTTACATGTCCTGTAGTAACATAGATCAAAGTTACTATAGTCAGCCAAGTCTTTCGAAGCATAAAACATAATTTTACTATCTTTAAATATATCTGTTTTGAATGTAAATTTTAAAAAAGTAATTCTGTCAATGGATTTATAATTTCTTTTCAAAATTTCTTACAGCTAACACATGTATCTCTGTGATAATAGAGCCCTTTTTTTGAATTACAGTCACATATGGAATTTGGAAGATTTCTCCTCTTTCAGCAAATAGTTGCTACAAAGAATTTTTCATATGATTCTATAAAATATTAGTAGTACGAATGTATGATATCTTGATGACTCTCCTGTTTTATGATAGGTAGCCTAAATGCTTTATAAGCTTTCTGTTCTAAATCTTAAAATCACAATTTAAAAATGACAATATCAACAGAACCTTATTCTTATGATGAGAACTATTTGTTATGATGGGGGAGGTTTTGTAAGCAGACACTGGTGGACTAGAAAGGGCAATGAGATTTTCTATAAAGATTTTCACAGGCAAACATGCAGTCACCTTTTTCTTCTTTCTTGGAGAGCTCACATTTGCCTGTAATTTGACATTTTTGCTTACAAATAACATACCTTTTCAAACTGCTAGTTATATTTATCCAATAAAGTCATAATCAGGAGTCCGTTCGTGTAAAAATTAGGCTGGTAACAGGGAAAATATATTGTCAGTATTTCAGCTGTGTTCTTTCCTAGTTTGACTATGGTTACTTCTATGTTAAAATACAATTTAAAATCACACACAAAAAAATCAACAAAATAATAAAATGAATGAAAAAATGATACCCTAGGTAGTTCCCAACCCCAGTGTAAATGACATTTACCAGTGATCTAGCATATGTAATCTTTTTTAAAGGTATTGTTAATAAATATTCTGTTATTTGTAAAGATACTTGTCTTCTGGAAGCATTTTTCCTGCCTGCCTGTCAGGGAATTTGTTAGCTTACCCTTGTGCTAGTTATAGTTGGGATCATAGAGGGATGCAGAAGCCTCTAGCCATGGCCCAAAGCTAGATGTCCCAGAGCTATCCCTTTGGAACTGACAACTTTAAGGACACCATTTCAAATCCTCTTTGGAAACATAGAGGGTCAAAGTCTAGTAATAAAGGTTCTGAAGATCAGACTTGAATATTTTCTCTTGGTTAGCCAAGTCTTTTCTATATTTTACATAAGCATATCTGTTTTCCCCATGCATTGCCAAAATGATAAAATCTAAAGTTAAGCACGTAAGGCCCTTCCTAGTCTAAAATCCTTTAACCCTATATACAGCCACACTGACCCTTCCTGGTCCCCGAACACTGCTTGCTTTTGGTCTCACCTTTGTGCCTTTTGGTCTCATGGCTGCTCCTCCTTCAAATGCCCTCTTCACTCTCCCACCCAAATATTGATTATTCTAAGGCATCTCCAACACCCCAGCTCATCTGTGAGGTCTTCCCACTTTCCCAGCCTTGTGATGTCCTCCCTCTGAATTTTCTGCAACCCCCCTTCATTTAGTATTTAGTTGGGTACAACTTTTGGAAATCTCTTGTACTGTTATCTTGCATTTGAACCTAAGTCCTGTATTGTTACTTACTATTCCTTGTATGTATACCTTGTCTTCCCAACTAGATTGTAAGCTCCTTGAGGGCAGGGACATTGGTCTTCTCTTCCATGTACTCTCCATAGTGCCTAGCACAGTGCCTTGCAATAAATACTCATTGATGAATTGATTGAAGGGGTCTTTGAAGTAGCATTTTGCATCAGTTGCCCGCCTGTGTGCTATAGCAAACCAAGCAGGGAAGACTGTGTCACAGCTTCTGTGATGTGCTGGAAAGTGCTAGTGTCTTCTAATGTGATGCTTTGATGAACTCCTTTCACCTCTCAGCTTTATCATCTGATAATGAGTTTCTGAGTTACTCTGATTGAACTGAAAAGTTTTAGCAAATGCCTCATAGGCACCTTCACCAAAGCTTCTATGATTTGTTGACTTCCATGGTTGTTACAGGTTGGGCCCATTGTTTGAAAGCAACAGAAACAATTCTCCTAAGTAAACAGAAAGGAACTAAGTAGCATCATGCAGTCATCAGAGGAGCCTAGGAAACACCTGAGGTCCAAATCTTGATGAGGCTAAGAATTGGACCAACTCTGTGTCCAGACTGCAGGAACCTTGCAAAGGCTTTTTGCTGTGCAGTTTGGGGGATAAACAAAATTTCTGGTTTTGATGCCACTTTGCTCAATATACAAACTCTTTAGGGAGTGTCTCATCAATGTGGGTCATACAGCCAGAGCACCTTGCTTACACCAAAGCAGCATGCATGACGAGGGAGAATGTGCTCAGACTGGAATGTTTCTAGAGGGTGAAAGAATAGGTACCGGGAGACTAAACAACAAATTCTCTATGGACAGTCAACCAAGGGAACGTCCCAAGCACTAAGTCCAAGTCACATACCTAGGTGGAATATGTCACTGCTTGAGATGTTTCCCCCAGGGGAAGTTTGCTTTATTTAACCTTTTCAAGTTCTTGACCTTTGCCTCTTTCGTGTGTCATCTACCTGTAATTTAGTTGTATAAAAGAGCATTCTATTCTGACATATAATTGAATTCTTTCTGTGTAACTAGCTTTTAGAGAGCCCACACACTCTATGTACACAGCAGCAGCTTTCTGTGTGTGTAGATGACATGGATGATAAACTTCGTTTCTCAGGTAAGCACCGAATTCCTCCAGCCTATGAGGTAGAAGGCTCCAGGAACTTTTTATCATGAAACAGAATGATTGAGCTATTCCTCCACCAAAATGTTGGTATTTACATCAAGGAGGGTATTTAAATCCAGTTAACCTTTTCCCAATCTCTCGTACATCCCCTGCCTTGCAACTAATATGCTCAAGGAATGTTTCTTATACAAGTGGCCCATAATTAACTACTAAATGTCATGGAATTTAGTGTAATATCATCCAACAGGTGAATCTTTTAATTGTACTAGACTAAGACTGCTACTCTCCTCCCCCATTCGCATCAGCCTTCAAAGCTTGATTGTATTTTCCAGTTGTGAAAAGTAGTACTGAGCTCTTGCTGAGAATGTGGTTAACCCAAGTGATTTGAAATATATACCTTTAAAATTAAGGCTCTTTAGTGAAATTATGGACATACCAATATTATTCCATCAGAAAATGCCAGCCACTAGAGCCTTACAAAGGCAGCCTAACCCAAAGGCTAAGAATATGTGTTCAACATTATAACTTCTGACAACTGCCACTTTTTACATAGGATAAAGTTTATGATGCTCTAAATGCATGACTTTGCAAACATTAGTGATTATTATTATTGCTATTAGTGGTAGTAGTGATGTTTTGTTTTGTTTATGAGACAGGGTCTCTCTGTAGCCCCTGTTGGCCTGGAACTTGCTATATAGACCAGGCTGCCCTCAGTTTCACAGAGATCCACCTGCCTCTGCCTCCTGAGTACTGGGACTAAAGGCGTGTGACACCATACCGTGAACAGTAGTGATTTATTTTTATAAATTAGTTATTGCTTTTCTCCAGGGACATAAAAACTGCAAGTATAAAGTAGTTAAATTCCACTGGTTCATTTACTATGGCCTTTTATTTAAATCTTTTTTACTGTACATATTTATATATAACCATCTTGATACAATAATAGGATATATACTAATATGAATATTGAAATTAATATTGACCTAAAAGAAGGTAGGCAGTAGGTTCTTCATTCAGATGCCAGGTGTTCCAGAAGATCACTTTCAGTGATCTTGTTGTACTTTCAGTGCATATTGTACTGAGCTGTCCTTTTTCTTCCAGGCATGTGATCAGTATTTATTCTTGATAGCCAGCCATCTCTCTGCAAGTAGTATTTAAACCATTTTCACTTATTTGAGTCAAAGGATGAGCATATCGGTTGCTGTTTCATGTGATCAGCTAAAGTGTGATCAGTCTGTGAAAGTCCATTTTGTAGGAAGATCCCCTTTAACCCTTGTGATAAATGGGCCATGTAGATGAAGTGTTCCAAGTCCACAATTCAAGGGTAAAATACAATAATAACCAAGTCCATCGTTCAAACAAAACTGGCCTCTATTCTTTATCCTCACGGTTATGGTCAGATGGAGATTAACAGAGCTCTAATCACACAGATCATACACACAAAATCCTTTTTTTTAAAAAAAAAGGTTAACCACATGATAGATCTGAGGGTTTAGAAACTGTAAGGCTGAGGTGCTTAATATGGATATGATTAAACATGACATCTACAATCTCTCTCAACTCGGCCTTCTCTATATAGTCTTTCCACTTGTTAGGAATAACACAAATTATGACTGGATAGAAATATATCTTGGCATTTTAATGAACAAATAGTAATATCTTTGATTTTTATGGTTTTCAAAGTGTTGTTCACACTAAAGAAGGAAAAGGTACAAATTTCACCTTTTTCATTAATGAAATGAAAGCGAAGAGATAATTCCAGGAGACCAAAGCAACACAGACCATTAGAAAGCCAGGGCTAGACATAAGCTTTTGGTTTATTTTTGTTTTCTGAGACAGGGTCTTCCCATAGTCCCAGATAACCTGTAACTTACTATGTAGCCCAGGCTATCCCCAATCTCCCAGAGATCTTCCAACCTCTGCCTCCTGAGAAGAGAAGATAGGTTGGAGTCAGAAACTAGACCTTACGTTCAGCTAGAGGAAAGTGCAGGACACTGAGTCAGCAAGAGGTTGAGATGAGAGGAAAGGATGTCTGAGGTGAGGATTGGGTATGAGGAAATTCTGGACAGGGCAAGTCCAGGACAGAACTATCCAAAAGTGCAGGAGAGGATAAAGCCCATTAAGTAGTTTGACTTATTCAGCAGAGGACTGTTAGCAACATTCTACACCAGGCAATAATATAGGCACAGGAGGAATATACATGGGAAAGCCAAGAAACCTGGAACAGCATATTGTGACAACAGAGAGAAATGCAATGATAACAATAGTTAACAGTGCTCATGGCGAGTCTTGGTGCAGATAAGCCTGGTGATCCCTATTTTATACATGGAGAAGTGGTGCTGAGAGGTTCGGAGATATGCCCTACCTCCAATAGCTAAGCAGAGGCCAGGAATTCAGATGCTTGTGACAAGGCTCTAGAGACCCTTCTAAACACTAGATTTATGTATCCATGTATAGATGATAGATGGGTGAGTGACTAGATAGACCGACAGTCAGTCAGACCGACAGTCAGACAGACAGACAGACAGGTAAGGGAGGAGGTAGCAAGCATCTAGGAGGTTCTAGTTGAGTGTGGAAATTGAGCAGGGCTTGAACTAGCTCCCAGACACAATTCCTGCAGAGAGATTCCATATGGGTTGTGTGTGGTGATTTCTTTATTTCAAAGTAGACTGTTTCTCTTTCTTTTATTGAGACAGTCAGACCGACAGTCAGACAGACAGACAGACAGGTAAGGGAGGAGGTAGCAAGCATCTAGGAGGTTGTAGTTGAGTGTGGAAATTGAGCAGGGCTTGAACTAGCTCCCAGACACAATTCCTGCAGAGAGATTCCATATGGGTTGTGTGTGGTGATTTCTTTATTTCAAAGTAGACTGTTTCTCTTTCTTTTATTGCAAATTGTTTTGAACTCTGATTTGTAGCACCAGTCTTTAACCTTTAAGCTGTCATTCCAATACTGCCAAATTCAGGGTTGTCAAATAAAATATGAATGGCCAGTTAAACTTGGATATCAGAGAGAACAAATGTGTACTTTTTTTGAGCATATGTCCCATACAATATTTCTTTGAAATTCAAATTTGATGGGTCCTCCTCTGTATGCTAAATCTTGTAGTCCTGTGCAGTGAGGAAGATGTACATTTCCTTTAATAAAGTCATTATTTTTTAAGTTCAAAATTTCAGGGTCTTGCTGATGTCTGAGGATT